TTTATTAATATTAACTATTCTTGCTCTTTTAAAATTGCATTATGTTCAGCTATCTTTTTCTGCCTATACATATTATATCTTTCATTTCAATTTTTTGAACAATGACTTTTTATATGTATTTTTCTCACTCACTTTTCCTCATTTTTCCTGCATTCTTTTTCATGTTTCCCATCAACATTGTATCTCACACTTTTGTGATACTCTGTAATATATTTCCTTTTCACTCTGTTCCAAGCAGATTTGTCAATGTTTTCCCATTTGTTCTGATGAAATTTCATCTATTGGCTAATACTTTTTTCATATATTTTCTTTTCTTGCATTCATTTTACTTTCACTCTATTTTTTTCACTTCTTTCCCTTGTCCCTTGCCACCCAAATTCCCCTTTGATGCTACCAAAAAAATAGTCTGTCCCACAACCAGACTTTATGACTTTCTTTGTTCTCTTACTTTTTCATCACAAACAATCATTCATTTGGGTTTATATTCATTTCTTTGCCACATCATGTATAGATTTAACCTTAAAGTATGTGTTTTAAACAAGCAGACCTTTTCTATGGAAACTGTATTTATTTATTTATATTTCATGTTTCTACACCGCCCATCTCCCTCAAGGACATTCTTATCACTCAGTATTCTAATCCATTCTTGGGTCTTCAAACGGTTCATTACATTTTTCAGTATTCTTTTATCTATTCTAAGTCATCCTTTTGTCACCTTGTAGAAATATTTTTCCCCTGGATTACATGCAATTAGAATTTTGCACATTTTCCTCCCAAAATCATGCATAGTTCTTCCACTATAGAATTTATTGGAGCCTAATATACACCTATTACCAATTTATGATTCGTAACTATGTAGCCACCCATGATAATCTACATGATGCACATTTATAATTTGGACATATACTGTCGTCCTTTCATTTATATCTTTGCTTTACTTCTCTGAATGTTCTAATCACCCTCAAAGATCAGGCCACATTCATTCATATATATTATTTTCTTCTTATTCTTTAATTTCACAAATACATAGCTTTGTTTTGATTTTTTGTTTTTGTTTAATGTTTTGTTTTTAATTTTTTCCTTTTTTTTGTATTACTTCTCTCTCATTCCAAACTGCAATCTTCTACATGCCATGATTATCACCAGATGGGCCATAGATGTTGACCTCTGCTTCCTATTATCGATCAAAGTCAAGGTATCAACCAGTTTACTAGCCTTAATTGTATTTTTCCCACATGTAACATTCCCTGCTGATGGTGAGGGTGGTACCATTCAATTCTAGCTCATTTTGATAAATGTCCCACAAACAGAGTCCTGTTTTACTACAAAAAAACATGCTCATGCTATTCTATAAATGACTCTCTAATCTACGGTACCCTTTGTAAGCCAATAACTGTTTCCACATCCTACCAACTCAGGGGTATATGCAGTGTACTGGCACATTCTCAGGACAAGAAACATTAAATTTTAATGTTTAATGTTACACTTGTACTAAAATATTAACAGCGTGACTTATGCCATTCTTTAGAAGTATTTGTCACTGTTCCATGGAACACAATGCTAGGTAATTGTACATGGAATATTTCTACTGTGTTTGGTAATATGCCATTCATATTTTTAGTTATTGTTTATATCACTTTTCAAAACATAAAAGTTGTTTGCATTTTGAATGCATACATTAGAAGGGAGAAAAATCTCACATTAATGCAAAAGAGATGCTAAGTACTGAAATGTTTTGCAACAGCCCACTCAACTTGACTGATCTCCAGATGTGTGGATTTCAGCTCTCCAAATCCCAGACAGCACTGCTGTCTTTGAAATTTTAGAAATGTAAATACAATACCCATATTTAAAAGGGCCCCACGCTGGGAAAAGTTGTTCTAAAACAGATTTTAATTTTAATAGCTAAGTAAAGATTGCCCATACAAGATTGTGGAATAGTTAAAAAATATTTTCTCTTCATCTTTGACTTTGTCATAACTTATCTACATTTTGATGCTTCAGAAAGTAGGAAAGCTGTTATCAGTATAATAGAGAATAGGCACCAGACAAAGCCCATTAGATTCTTATCTTTTTGAGGCAGGTTCATAACTAAATAATTAATTATAATTAATTAATTATAATTAATTAAAACCTTCATTCTGACTATATATAAAACGCTCTATAGAGAAATGAACAGGTTTGACATATCATTAAACTATGAACAGGTTAATGAACAAATTAATTAAATTAAACTATAATTTAAATCATGCTTAGTGTCAACACTTATTCCTTCATTCTGCTTCCCTTCTCTCCATCTCATATGACTGCTTGAAGGCTCCCCAGGGATCTGCACACACAAGCAGCTTTGCTAGCTGTCCCAGCGTGTGCAAATGGCAAATACCTGGTCTATGGGACTATGCAGTAGGCTGGATCAGATATTACCTTAGGTTCTCTCTATTATTCTATGTTCAGACATGTTTCGCTACAATACCAGCATTCAAACTTTAGAGTCTACTTTCATATATGTTTGTGTATGGCCCTGTCACTGCAGAGGATTGAAGCCCTGCTCTAAGGCACACACTTTAATATGTCCTTAAATTTCTTATTTTCCAGAGAATAAACTAGTAACAGATAGCTTGCATTTTATTGTAGCTTCCTGCTTGACCAATCTTCTCTGTCTTTCTGTCTTTTCCTACTATAGGCATACTAGTCGATGGTTACATGCCATAGAATGGCTTGCTAAGAATGAGCAATTCTGTCAATGTCATTTGTATTTACACCATATTACTTTTCTCACCAACCACAATTTATATTAGGCTGCACTGTATAGGAAACAAAAAAGCTATATTCTTTGAATATTCAGGCTTCCCAAAGTAGGCACTTTTTACAAGCAATATTTTGCATAGGGAAATACATTCTTGTGCCTATCTTTCTCAAATATAGACGTATTTGGTTAGTTATTTGATGATGACCACGAGACATGGAATAATAATTTTAAAAAGTCCTGAAAGAAGGTTCTTGCAAATGACTTCCATACTGTTGCCAATAAAACTATAGAAACATATCCTGCAAACCTTTCAATTCACAGGCATTACCTTTACGTGTATTTTCCCAAAGGCCTATATTTTTGTACCTAAAAGGTATGAAATTATGAGTTACGAATTACATCAGAAAATTTTGAGCAATGCAGGTCTTGGAATTCAGGCTTTTTCTATAGACTTGTGAAGTCCAAAATGGACAATTAAACAAACATTAATTCAAATTTCTTATTCACTCATCTTTACAATACACCCACTAGTATTGCATAGTATTATAGTCAAGTAATGTTGGGGCAAATTTTATTATTTGCTGCTAGCTTGGTTTTTCTGGAGCTAATTATGCTAGGAAAAGATTGATGTGGCTTCTCCTTATTTTGTTCTCACATAGTTCCTCTTTAGCTTCCCACCTTTTTTCTTGCAAATTCTTAAATAAAGCCGTGTCCTGAATAGGAACATAAATCCTCTAAAGTGATTCTGGGGTCTCTTTGGAACCAAATGCATATGTCAGCCATGCAATGCATACATTTACTAACAATGAGATTGCTGAGCTCCAGGTGGTTCCCAAGCTTTGTGGAAAGAAAGAAGCAAAATGTGTTGCTCTAGTATTAATCTTTCAGTAGAAGAAAAGGAAACAGAAATATGTTAAGCATGCACTATTGTTTCTCTGGAAGTTCTGAACAAAATCCCAAGCCAAGAATTCTTCTACTGCTTTTGACTTGAAGGAGCAGCTTTGATCTCTTGAGTGTAATTGTTATAGATCAGCACTGATGCATAAATCCTGGAAAATCTTTGGAACCCAGACAGTTTACTACAAAAATTGAAAGAAGTCACATTGGCCTTGCCAAACAGGACATATAGGATAGTTAATTAATAGTACAAAATGCACAGTGACTATTCATGTAAGGATGTTGGTAAGACTCTTTAACATTCTTGGGGAAAGGAAGAGAGACATAATTCTGATTTATTCAAATTCTGCTCTCTGAATAACATTGCAACCAAATACAAATAGCCCCAAATAAGGGTAGTGCATTAAACCTCATCTCCTCCATCCATGTAAACACAACATTAATACTGAAGAAATAATAAAATATCCAGTGTTGGGTTGCACGTCTATGTGTTAATGTTCCTTGTTCAAGATTCTCACCCATACTTACTTCTACATACAATAATGGGAGTGAATTGAATTGATTCACCTCCAAGCAAAGACCATCAAGATTTTCCCATTCTTTTCTCCCGCACCAATACACCATTTCATTTCATTTCATTTTGTTTTTGTTTTAGTTTAACAACACTTGATTGAATTAGTTCCCCAAAGTCTGTAATTCTGTGGTTCCACTCTCCTGCTTAATAATGATGTCCACTCACACCAAATGTATGTGAAGTGGAAGAGCTATTGGACTGATTTTCCCCAATCACCTGAGTTCATTCATTAATTAAATATTAATCCTTCCTTCCCAATACTTTAGATTCCAATTTGATCTGTGTGGCAAAGAAATACTTCAAAAAAACCCCCATAAAATGGAAGCAAAATTGAATGTGATGGATATCTTCCCAGGTCAGTAAAAGTACAGATCTTCTTGGGGGAATGGCTAGATACAGGGATACATCTGAGGTGTGAAAGGATGTGATTTAGTTTGAAAAAAAAAAGGATATGAACAGAGCAGGTGACAGTGATGGGGAGTTGGAGAAGAGTCCATCTTGCAGCATAAGAGCAATGACTGAGTGATGCCACAGAAGTGCATACACAATGCTGTGAATATTCAGAATATAATATATCACAAGTTCCATTGGTTGGATATAATTCCCATTCATCTGACAGGGGAAGTCTGGTTCGGCTTACTTTATAGTGTTCTCTGTGATTAGACAAAAGTTGTGTGACATAGGCAAATTCCTTTAATAAGGAGAAGTAGGGGGCTCTTTTTGTTCATTTAATTCACAGGATAATAATCTGAAGATCTTCCTTTACATTTCTTTTTTTTTAAAAAAACTGTGATATTATTAAATAGTAACATGAAAGCCTATATTTCAAAGAAGATCTGTGTGCAATTTTAAGAATAAAGATCAGTTTTACACAGTTACTGCCACCCTGTGTGTTGCGAACAGATGTGGGTAGTGCTGTCCCCCAACCCCATACATTTTGTATCCACCTCTTGGTCAATCAAGCCAAAGTTCTGTAAGGGGTGGATGAGTGGTGCTTTTGAGCAATGTCCAGAGACAACTTGTTCCAAAGCTGTACTGTTAGAACTGTTTGATATGGTTTAAAAACAAAGCAAAACCAAAAACAACCAACGGGGTCCCACAATTTAAGAACGGGGTCCACACACATGAAACGTCTCCTCTTTTCAGGTTGCTTTCCATTAAGAGTTTGGTGGTGCTAGCTGTTGTTCTCAGCCGTGAGATATTTCAATGCAGCAAAGCCATAGCGGCGTGACATATCCTGCTGGAACTCTTCTTTGAGGGTCTTGAGACAAATACGGTACTGCTTGTTGGAACGGAATTTGGTGATGTCGAAGCTGGGCGCATGTGGCATGTGGATCATATAGGCATTGGGAAGCACCGTGAATTCATATTCCTGAGGAAGACAGTCACAGTAAGAGTGAGCAAGAAGACCAACGTCTCATAATTCTTTTATACCAATAGAAGAGAATATGTGTAGCTCAGGGTTGAACTGTGGGGTCCTTGGTACTCTCTGAGCTTGGTTGTTTTCTTGTACAGAATTCATTACCCAATCTCATCAGTACTATTTAGTTGGGTAATGAAACATCTGCAAGAAAACCATCAAGCTCAGAGAGCACCAAGGACCTCACATTTCCTTTTGTTCTCCTCTCCCCTATAGCCTTAAGCATTGAAAAAACTGGAAAACAGCAAGCGTAAGTCAAACGTTGGCACTTATAAAAGGATGGTCTGCAAATAAAAATCTTTTCTTAATCCCAGTGTAAATATATCTCCCCTCCCTGCCTGCCCCTTTTCTTTTGTTAACTTGAATAAAATTAAATATGGCATCTGCTTGCTAAGCATGTGTATAGTTAGGTTTTGTAACCCCCATATGAGAAAAAAAACTTGGTCAGTATTTACTCATGTTTGCTGATGTTTCTAGATCATGGCTAAGACTGGCAAAAGAAAAAAGTTGAAAATTTGTGTTAGAGGGGGAGGAGAGGACACTTAAACTATGTTTAAACCACCTTTGCAGCAGTTACAATTTTGCAAGGCAAACAGAAGTCTAATAAGTGAACACTCTTGTGGTGAAATTTCAGAGGACATATTAATAGAACCGATTTCTGCTAAAGTTATTTGTTTAGGATAGAACCAGCACCTTGTCAACTACATTAAATGCATAAAATGTTGAATCTTGGGATTTATCATCTGAAAGTCTGCTTGCATCTGCTGCAGAGCAGCAATCCAGAACAGCTTAAGCAATTCTCAAGAAGCTTTTCTTTACAGAGAGATGAAGCTCGCTATTAATCACTCTGCATTTATTGCGGGGTTCTGGTAAAAATGAAAGCCTTTGATTAGCAATCCTTCAGTTTCTGAATGACATGTTGATAACACAGATACATATAAAGCCAATGTTAGATTCACCTTCTAGCTGGGCTAAGAGAATTTTGCAGCTTTGTTTTTACCTTCTGCCTCAAAGCAATGATCTTTTACTGACATCAAAGCCTTTCTCTGCTGCCCTTTCATCCTTCCTCAGTTATGTTGCTATTCCAATTTTGCCAAGAGCAGTTGTTTCTCTTCACTGCTTACATATTTTTACGGTAAAAATAGAGCCCACTGTGGTATCGTTACTATGATAAATTTGAGGAGTAAAAGGAGAAAGAAATGTGAAGCCATGGATGCGCCCATCAAGTCACCATGAATTGAGCTTGATTAACTCAGAGGTATCCAACCTTGGAAACTTTCAGACCTATGGACTTCAACTCCCAGAGTTGAAGAGTCCAATTTTGGGAGTTGAAGTCCACAAGTCTTAAAGTTGTCAAGGCTAGACACCTCTGTTTTAACTGCAGGCACACAATTCTAGAGATCAAAAGCAAGGGCATTTTCTCAACTCTGTTGACTTGATGCTCTTTTTCACTTTTAAACTGGGACCTGTGCCATAGAAAGCACAGTTTTCCTACAAGGCTATTTCTCCTCCATCACATCCCATCAAGTCACCCCAGAGTTCTATCCTTTATTCCAATAAACATATTGATTCTAACTGAACTACGAACAAGTGCAGACACTCTTGAAGAGCTAACCCCACTGGATCCACTGTTTTCCTTTCTATACAGGTAGTCCTCGACTTACAACCATTTGTTTACTGACTGTTTGAAGTTACATACACATTGAAGTAAAATGATCAGTCCCTGCACTTACAAGAATGCAATATCAAGGTCAATATCAGGTCAAGGCCATCAAGACTAGCTTCTTGCTCGAAGAGGAAACTCAAATTAACACATTTGTAGAATTTCCCAGGTATAGAAGTCTGTAGTTCTTTGGTTCCTCCTTTCCCTTTGAATGCTAGGAAGCAATTCGTCTGGAGATAAACACTCATTCAAAGTAAACAACTATTCCCTGGTATATATTTTTAATTATTCTCAGTCTTTAATCTTGTGGCTTCACTCTGCTTTTCAGTATTGACTGGTAGAACCCACTGACACTCTCAGAGAGGACAGAAGGGTCATCAGCACTTCCTGAGATTTTAACCATCTCTTGCAGACAGGAATGTCCAATCATCCTTAATCTCTATTTATCTTTTCTTGCTCTGCATTAAAGTTAGTATTTCAAAGTCATGCAGGGTTATGCTCTCTTCCTGCTGTTCTTCATTTTGTTATAAGCAAATATTTTCACTCCAGGTTGGATACTGTGCATCGTAGCAGGATTCCTTTTGCAGAGAAGACTGGTAAAAGGCTGTCTTTTTTTTTTTTAAATAAACAGGTTCACTAGTGGACCAGTGAAACATTCGTCTCCCTCCCTCCATCATGAATGTTAGAAAAGTTCTGCTACTTTCCCCTTCTAGCCCAAGTGACAGGAAGAAAGGAAAACACATGTTTTCTTTCTTTTACTTTCAGTGGTCCACTAGTGCAGGGGTCCCCAACTCCCAGTCCATGGACTGGCACTGGTCTGTGGCATGCCAGAAATTGGGCCATGCAAACAAGCGAAGCCCCATCTGTGGGGTGACAGTACACAAAACCACACCCCCTCTGGTCCGCGGAAAAACCTCTCACCACAGAACTGGTCTCTGGTGCCCAAAAGGTTGGGGGCTGCTGCACTAATGGACATATCAGATGGAAGATGTCAAATATGGATGGGGCTCCTGCAAAAGCTCTATCATTTGGAACCATACATCTTCAAATCTCTTCCACCGAAACAAAAGTGAGTTATATTTGTTTTCCCAGTACAGATGGCAATAGTGAAAAAACAGGGGACTTTTCCAATTTTCATCCGCATAATTGTTGGCCAACATTGGCCAGCATTGTTGCTAAACCTGAACTCAATTTCTTAAGTTGTCTTCATTTAAAGCTGGATTTAGCATGGGAGGACTGTTGTTGAAAGAGCCCAGTGATAATAATGTCTAGGACCTAAATAGTTTTGTCCTTCCAATAATGCATAGGACCTGAGTAGCTTTGTCCTTCATACATTTATCTGTTAACATTCTACCTTTTTTACTGAACAGCTGGTATACTGATACTTCTTGCATTTTGTACAAAGCTGAAGAAACCTGTTTTATATCCTTAGCATTCTTTGCCAACTTCAACTCACTCTATGCTTTAGCCTTTCTCACACTCTATGTACAAAGACACTGTTATGAATTGTCCTATTGCCCCCTTGAGAAACATTTGCCTCATTTAAAACAGTAAATGCTCCTTGAGAGGTAATCCAAAGAGTGAACTGTATCTTTCCACCTGCTCTGGGAAACTGTTTTGTAGAGAAGCAAAGAGCTAATTGTAGGGCAGACCTGCTCATTTAAGATGCCAGTTGCAAATTTAGAAATGCTGGTTAGAAGCATGGTACAGTTTATTGTTACCCATCTTTTGGCAAACTAATTACTGGATGGGGGAATGATCCTACTGGGTGTTATTTGGCACAAAAACATTTTTTTTTCATCAGACATAATTTTTTATGTTCTTTCATTCTTGTCTCTTGGAATTAATTTGGAGCACCAAATGTTTATACAGAAACCTGAAGCCCATTATGTATGAACATTGCAAAAAACAAAACAAAACAAAACAAAAAAACAAACAACCCCACTCTGCAGTGGGAAGAATCCTGGCTATGTCATTATACTATATTCCAACCAAATGGAGCCGAATTATAGGCTAATTCGGCTCACTGCTAGGAGTTTGATGCTCACTGGCTCAAGGTTGACTCAGCCTTCCATCCTTCTGAGTTTGGTAAAATGAGGACTCAGATTCTGTAAACTTTTTATAGAGTGGTGTTAAGCACTATGAAGCAGTATATAAGTGCTATTGCTGTTACCCAGAACTAGGAAGAATAGGATGGTTGGCTGTGCTAGCTAGGAGTTATGGGACCTCTTGATTAGGAAAACTATTATTTTCTGCTTCTTGCTAATAGTATCAATTTTTCAAAAGCAAAGATTACAACTCTTTCACGAATGAAGGCGAAATACGTGTCCCGGGATGAAGTTGCAGAATCCAATCTGGATCAGTCACTGGGACCAGAGGTTTAGTTTTCTGAGTTTTTGGACTCGTGCTGGAACCCATCTTCAGGGAACTTCTCTCTAGCAGAGTCTGTCTAGCACACAGATTGGATCCTGTACAACTCTTCCGTATTAGTGAATCTGAACAAGAGTGGACTCCCACATTTATAACGCAATAAGAAACAAACTTTCTAGAGCAGGGGTGTCAAACTGCTGGCCCACGGGCCGGTTTTATCATACCGGAGCCACACCCACCCCATTGCCGGCAATGGCAAAAAAGCTCCGATACGTTGCGCGACGTCACATGACGTCGCAAGTTTGACATGTCTGTTCTAGAGCATCCTATAAAAGCAGTATCTTTTATATTTAGAAAAAATGGGAAAACAAATTGCTACAACTAAATTTCTACTTCTCACCTGTGCATCCAATTCCATAATGTGTGCAACTTTATTCCAACCAAATCCAACAAACCTTCGGTCATATTCTGGACAATCCTGCCTTACCACAACATATGGCTCAAAATCTGCTTCCCATTCAACTCGGTATGGTGTGGTGGCTGTTCGCCACTTGGCAAAATTGGTTGGTGCATGCCCTTTTGTCCATACGTGATACCTGGAAAACATATGGTTTGGAAGAATCATTGATGGAAGTAAGCCGTGGAAACAATCCATGTGGAGATCTGTTGAGAGTACAGTTTGGTTCACTTCTCTTCTCTTTCACCTCTTGGTTTGTTCACTTGACAAGAAGTGAATGAAACTTTTTGACAACACTGCTGATACAAAGGTCAGAAGAGGTTGCTGCACATGCATAGCACCTGAAGAAAGTATCTTCCAACTTTTGCATGAGCCCCAAAGCGGGGCAAACGAGCAGCTTGGCCATGTGGCTTTGGTCTTAGGAAAAGATACTGTGGTACTTCAGGATGCAGATTTGAGAACCACAAAGATGTCAGATTTTCAGTGGGCATTACTATCCAGGCTTCCATTGACTTTGGGGAAAAAAATGAAAAATGAAATTTTCTATAATTACAGATTGATAATCTAAGCAAAGAAATCATGACTGATGAAGAAACAGTAACTACAGCAGTTCTGGACTGTGACATTTAATTGTAAAAAATGGTACTCTGAGAAGATGTTGACATGAAGATAAATGCTTTGCAAATGAGCTCAGCCACCATTCACAGTTATAATTTTTCCCTTTTTAATTTAGTAGTTTGTTTTCAAGGCAAGCAGAAATCTGTGAAGGTGTTTCTGTCATCATGGCCGAAATTTAGATCAATACAGGTATTAAATAAAAGCCTAGGCAAATACTATCAGTGCCATCAAAGCTATCATTTTGTTGCCATGTGCCATCTACACAATTTCATCTAGACAATCAATTCAATTTACAGGAAAGGATCCTTTTATAATTTGTTAATTTTACCCATGTCACTGCCAGTCCTATCCAAGCACAGCTACTATTCTTCAATTAAGACAATGATCAATACTTTTCTTTTGCATTCATTTATTTATATATCAAATTTATATGGCCACCTATCTTTGCGCATTGTACAACAAAGTTATACATAGTAAACATATAATAAATCAGTCATTATTAGAAATGTCCTTAAAAAAACAAGGCATAGGAGAGAATAGATTGTGCTCACTGTGCCATTCCAGAATGATATCGGCTACTGCCACACATCTATCAATTAAACCAGGACACTATTACATCATTTGTTCCTATAGCATACCATATTCCAATGTTTACTTCAAAACCCAGTACAGTCAGACAGACTTGATATTGTATCTAGATTTAATTTAAACACTGAAGACCTCCATGAAAATCTTGAAAATATTCAACTTGAAATTTTGACCTAACTTTGTAATCTAAAGGATCCTATGGTTATGCTCACAGAAAAAGCATATGTGGAATAAGAACAGGGCTGGAAGGCACTTTGGAAGTATTCCAATCCAACCCCCTGCCTTATACCAGTGGGCCCCAATCTTTTGGGTGCCACGGACTGGTTCTGTGGGGGCTCTGGTTTTGGCGTTGCCAGGTTCCACACATGTGTGGATGGGGCTTTGTTTGCTCATGTGGCCCAGGGGTTGGGGATCCTTGCCTTATACCATCCCAGACAAATGGACGTCCAATCTTTTCGTGAAAATTTCCAGTGATGGAGCACCTACAACTCCAGAAAGCAAGCTGTTCAATTGATTGTTTTTATTGTCGGGACATTTTTCCTTAGGTCCAGGTTGAATCTTTCTTTAATGAGATTCCATCCATTGCTTTGCCTTCCCTTGAGTGCTTCGGAAAATGAGTCATCCCCACTTTTTTGTAGCTGCTCCCCCAAGTATTGGAAGACAGCTATCATGTTACCCCTCATCCTGGTCTTCGATAGGCTAAACATACCTAGTTCCTTTAACTGTTCCTCCTATGGCTTAGCTTCTAGTCCTGTTCTAGTCCTGTTATCATCTTTGTTGCTGTTCTCTGCACTCTTTCTAGGGTCTCAAGTTCATTTTTGTATTGTGGTGGTCAGAATTGGACAAAATATTCCAAGTGTGATCTCACTAGTGCAGTATAGAATGGTGCTAACATTTCTCATGATCTTGTTGCTATGCTTCTGTTGATGCAGTCTTTTTGCCACCTGCAGCCCACTCTGGCTATACTTAAGTGATAAGTATGAGCCAGTAGTGTTGTCCACTAGGAAACTTAGATGTCTCTCATAGTTACTACTGTTGAGCCAATACTGTCTGTTCTATACCTGTGCATTTGGTTATTCCTGCCTAAGTGCAAGACCTTACTTTTCTCACCCCTGAACAGCATCTTATTGGATAAGGTCCAATGCTTTCAAATCATTCAAAAAGGAAATATTTCTATTCTATTTCTTCAGAAATAGGATAAAAATCAAATCAAAAATACATTTCAAGAATAGTTATTGTAATATGCTAATAGCTTTTAGTGAAATAAAATAAAGGAGATGTTTGTATTTATTCTTTATTTGGGATATTTATTATTTCTTTGAGGTACAAGAAGAAATGGTAAGAAGAATAGTCCTACTGGGTATTGGGTAAACCCAAGGCCTATCTGCTCGTAGTTTTGTTTTTTGTTTCTTACAGTGGCCAGCAAGTTGTCTTTGAGGTGATAGAGATATGTCCTTCTTCCATTGTTCCACTATAATTGGCTTTTGGAAGCATGCTGTCTGCAGTTTGAAGGTAATATTAATCATAACTTTGATAATATCTGGGTATCTGAAGAGAAAATGAGAATGCATTCCTATAACTCTGTAGAATCTTTGAGAGACTGAAATGCCCAAACATGGTTCTACAATGAATCTGGGGAGACTTCAATAATCTATCAATATATTATTTGTTGCCTGTCCTAGCACTATATAAGTTTCTATTCTACCAGGTTCTTCGGCACAGAGCTGCAATTAATAAAGAATATATATATATATATACATATATATATATTCATTCCTTAATATTTTTCAGGAGTTCTCTAGAATCATTATAGCAGCATTCATTTTGTTAAGTCTTTTTTTTCCAGAGTGAACTATAGTAAACCAAATAAGTTAAGAGAGAATTGCTAATTTTGTTTTGTTTTTATTTTATTTTGGCTCAATGTAATTGCATTCAAATTTGTTGACATGGACAGGTCATCGGTCAATACACATTAGTGCAATACAGAAAATTTTACTTGGACAAGAGACTATATAATGTTACTTTCTTTCTCTAAAATTCCCTGAATAATCAGAGAAAAAGTAATTGCACTGTATTTGGAAGTAGATTCAAAGCAGCAGCAATTAATATAGTCTGAAACCTTAGTGGAGCAAAGTTTAATTTTTTTCTACAGACAAGGAAATCTCCAGACCTTTAATATAAAACCCTTGAGACACATCTACAATGAAGCCATCCATTATTCTCCATTACAAAGCTCTCATACTCAAAATATCCAGGCCACTACAAAATTTGCTGGAAGAGAAATAAAAGGAAGACATTTACCATAGAGAACTAATTTATATGTCTCATATACCCAAAAGGAAAAAAAAATAACCATTTTAGAAAACAGGAGACCAAATAAAAATAAAAATAAAAAGTTTGGAATGCTACAGGAATGATCAGGAATCATTGTCACACAACTATTAGTTTGGCTTGCAATAGTTACTAACAATTTATTAAAACCATCCTGAAAACCAAGGTAGAAATGGTTGGTTGGTAGATGTGAGCTGTGAGAAGATTGGAACGATTAGATGGACTAGCTGTAGGGAGAAATACTGGACACGGATGAACAAGCTGAAATGAACACAATAGAGTTGCTGAATCCAGAAACAGGACATTCAGGATTTAGGAGATACTATTTCTACATGGGATTATAATCTTCCTTAAGGATCAGCTTTATAGTCTTCATGGATTCCGTAAAGATTTATATGTTGGTAAACTCAAGAATTACTTTGTCGTAGATAGTTGCTGAAAACTGTTCAGAAACTGCAGCTGTCTAAAAATGTAATCTGGCTGCATGATTCTGAGAGATTCCATATAACTGTGGTAGCGAACCTATGGCATGTGTGCCACAGGTGGCACGCAGAGCTCTCTCTGTGGGCATGCGCGCCGTCGTCCCAGTCCTAAAACCCCTTCAGCTGGGTTTTATAAAACCTTTTCGCTTTAGGCCTCCACTGCCGTGTGCAAAAAAAAAAAAAAAAGGTTCAATCAATCAATTTCAACTTCTAGTGGGAAAAAACAGATCTCGCAAAGTAGGAATTGATTGATTTAACTTTTTAGTCTCACCCAGTCTGCCCTTACCATTGCAGCCACGCCCACCCAATGGGCCACGCCCACCCAACTGGCCATATCCATCTAATGGGCCACGCCCACCCAGCACATGACAATACATAAGTGGGTTTTGGGTTGCAGTTTGGGCACTCAGTCTCTAAAAGGTTCGCCATCACTGCCATATAATTAGGGCACTGGTTGTTTTTTGAAGCCAATTCAAGGGTTTCATCACAACATATAAAGACTTACAGTACATGACTTTGACCCAAACTGATCATAACTGAATAACAGAGTTGGAAGGGACCGTGGAGGTCTTCTAGTCCAACCCCCTGCTCAAGCAGGAAACCTACAACATTTCGACAAATGCTTGTCCAACCTTTTCTTGAAAACCTCCAGTATTGGAGCACCCACAACTTCTGGTGGCAAATAGGTAACAGGGAATCTGTGATATGTTTCATCATGGGTTAATGATCAATTCTCCTTTTTCCATGATGAGGCTCAGGTTTTGAAACACATTTTTAAAAAAAGGTAAAGGAGACCCTGTGGATGTTACTCCACTAGTCATTGCCAACTATGGAGGCAGTGTTCATCTGTTTCAAGGCCATTGAGCCAGCACTGTCTGAAGACATTTCTGCGGTCATGTGGCCAGCATGACATCATGAAGCACTGTTACCTTTTGAACTGCTAGGTTGGCAGATGCTGGGATGAAGACAGGACTCACCCCATTGCGTGGCACTGAAGTCTTGAACCTGGGCTGCTGGCTTTCTAACTTTTTTGTGTGTTTTGAAGTGTTTTTTTAAAAAACACATTGCATTGTTATAAATTGAAACTTGTTCTTTGTTTATGAGGAACCAAAAACACATTGAAGTCGTGTAATATTAAATATTTTATTGTTAAGGGATAATTGTTTTAGTTCTTGGTGTTCTATAACTCATTTTAAATAATGTTTTTATAATTGGTTTTTATTGTATTTTATTTTTTTGTAAGTCACTTTGACCTATGAAGAGAGGGGATGACGTCATAAACACACACATTCATACCCACTTACATCCCTGGGGAAGGGGGAGCAGATGGAGGATTTTCAGAAGATGTAAATCAACTTCCCACCTGGTTCCACAGCAATCTTATCTTAGAGATTTCTTACTGAATTTACTGCTTAGAGTCCTAACAGGAAAAATATATCTACCTGGCAACCACCCTCCACCCAAAGTACCACCTGTTTTGCTGTCCTTTTAAGAAATGGAACTTTGTTTCATGACTGTCTGTTTTTCCTACTATTGGAAGCCAGGCAAAATAACAAAGACTCAGTAGCCTTTCCCAAAAACTCTTTCTTATGGTTTATTGTCTAAAACTCCCCAATCTTAATCTTTTCAAATTAAACCTCCAGACAACCTCCTAAGCCTCAAGGAAACAGTGTAAATGGATGGCTCATTTTAAGTAATAAAAGGGAGAATGAGAACATGTTTCTAACACAAGTTTAGAATGCTTTAAATGTACACTACTATGTGCTTTCTTTTATACCCAACTGCTTAAAATAGAGAGGGAGAAAGCAAATCTTTTGAATGAATTAAATAAAATACATGCAATACCTGAATGTGAAGAGTGTTCCCATGTCCAACATAGATAACAGCTCTGCCTTTGACTTTGGAAAAGAGAGGCGATAGCGGAGAGTTTCAAAAGCAGGTACAATTAGAGCTTTTCTTGTATTGGCTAAGTCAAGTTGGTCAACAGATTTCCTAGAAAAGAACCAGCAAATAAAATCAACCAAATGTTAAATTAGCTTTCTAGAAGGAAGTAGCAATATAACTGAATTATATTATTTTCCACAGAGAATGCTATATTTGGTTACCATTTAAATTTTAAATTTTCATTTACATTCAAAGCCATCTTGTATGCATTAGTAATTGCATTAACAGGAAGTACAATTGGCAGATACATTTAGATACAGCTACAAAGAAAATTTCTACTTTCTCTGATAAGAAAAAGCCTCTACACAGTAAATAATATTCACAAAGTGCTGTTCCAAGTGTGAAAAATGAGATTCTTTTTTTTCTGTCTGAAATTTTAAAAGCTCATCATTCATAATTTTATTTCCCCAATCTATATTCAAATGTGTTTGCCTATAAGAATTATCACACACTCTTTGGCAAATGCTGGCGATGAATTACAAAATTATGGTCTAACCTATCTGAAGTTCTCAAGCAGCAATGTGAAAATGGAAGATTCACTTTCATGTCTCTTGGGGAATATTTTTCTGAATAAACTTTAAACTTTAGATTTTGCTATTAGCTTTAAATAACTGGTTTCCTCTGAAGTATTTTTCTGTGGCTGTTTTATAAATGAGGTAACTCTTCGCATACTTTTCTGAAAATTATTTGAAGTGTCTGCATCACATTCCTTTTTCACTATGTACTATATTTTGTCAGCTTCCTATTATAAGTTTTGTATACTTTTTCTCTGTTTCCTTTTTTCCTCTCCTTCCATCAATTCTAATTGACCCAGGGAACTGCTTCTAAATAAAAAAATCTTTTCCAATCCACCTCCTCCAGCTGCCAAGATTATTCAGTGTTTGTGACACTCTTAACAATTCCACCCCCAGGTTTAGGTGTTACTTTCTTCTGTTGATTCGGCACAGAACTTGGTGTGACCGACAAGATAGCAAAGCCAGGAGGAGGAATACTGAAGTCATTTATGTCTCATTAAGTGTGCTTAGACTCAGCCAGGAAATGTGCCTTCATAGTAGTCTAATGGGCAGATCATGATTTCATGTTTTTCAGCTGTCATGGCAGACTTCCAGAATTTTACTTTGCTCACTGGAAGTAGAAGTCAAAATAAGATCCCACACAGTTGGAAGAATGATCCCCTGAATGATCATTACAAAGAGAAAGCCATAGTTTGCTGGTAGAGCAAATGCATTAATGCAGAAAGTACTTGATTTTATCTAGTTAGGGGGGAAAACTCTCACAATGGAATTGCTGTACAAATTGTCAATTCTAGAGACAAGTGTTTCTTAAAGTATGACCCAGAAGTCCTAGGGGGTCCCCTAGAACCTCTCAGGACTCCCAGAAATCAGGATTATTTCTCAGTTTATGTCGAAACATAATACAATATTAAAATCCCATCCAATAATTGTGGGAGTGATAGTGACAGCAAACATGTTAATTTTAAATATTGATATATATATAATCCATACAAACAAAAGCTCTTTTGGAGTCCTTCATAATTTTTAAAAGTAGAAATCAGTCTTGAGAGAAAAAAAAGTTTAAGAAACACTGCTTATAGATGACATTGGCTTAGGCAGACCAATGGTGGGGAAGGGTTTTAGAGAAAAAAAATCTTTAAACATTATTATAACAATATTGGGCTAGGTGGACCAATAATCTTACTCCATACTGACACAGCTTCCTATATTCTTTATAATATGGCACTTTTGTTGTCTAGAGCAACAGATACTCAAACCAAGTGGAACTGTTACTGCTCCAATTGGCAGATTGGAATGATGGATAAATGTTACAGTATAGACCTGTGTTTCTCAACCTTGAGAAACCTTTAAGTTGTGTGAATTTAGGCTCCCAGAGTTTCCCTGGAAAACATAACTACTGCCTCACCAAAATGACTAATGACACTAGTGATTAGACCCATTTTTGAAAACAAAAGTTGTATCATAAATGTTAGCTATAAAATGCTCATTTCTGTACTGCTGGAAAAAATCTATATTACTCCAAAAAGGATTTAAAAGATATAGATTTGCATATAATAAATTATATACACTGATATATATAGGGGGGGGGGAGAAATCTATTTCATTTGAAGGGGAAGCCTTAATTAATTTGTGAGCTGTTTAACTGCTCATTGTTGATAGTAACTAATTTCTTTGTCTTCTTTACTATGATTTTTTAATTTGAAACTAGAATTTGGACTGGCACTCCTTGAAGTCCTAGTTGACGATCACTTAAATATGAGCTAGCAGTGTGCGGCAGCAGCCAAAAAAGCTAATACTAATCTTGAGTTGCATAAAACGAGGCATAGAATCAAAATCACATGAAGTATTAGTACCTCTTTATAAAGTCTTAGTAAGACCATACCTGGAATACTGCATCCAGTTTTGGTCATCATATTACAAAAAAGATGTTGAGACTTTGGAAAAAGTGCAAATAAGAGCAACTAAGATGATTAAAAGCCTGGAGACTAGAAAAGGAAGAACGATTTGGATTTGGGTTTGGCTAGTCTAGAGAAAAGAAAGACTAGGGGTGACATGAAAGCAGTATTCCATATTTGAGAGGTTGCCACAAAGAGGAGGAGGGCAACTTATTTACCAAAGCACCTGTAGGCAGGACAAAAAACAATGAATGGGGACTAATCAAGGAGAGAAGCAATCTGGAACTAAGGAGAAACTTCCTAACAGTGAGGACAATTAATCAGTGGAACAGCTTTCCTTCAGAAGTTGTGTGTGCTTTATCACTGGAGGTTTTTAAGGAGAGACTGGGCAGTCACTTGTCTGAGATGGCATAGGGTCTCCTGCTTGAGCAGGGGGCTGGACTAGAAGACCTCCAAGGTCTCTTCCAGCTCTGTTCTGATTAAATGTAGAATGTCTTTGAAGAAAGAACTGCTCTCTTAGGCTGTTTAAAACAGAGGTGTGTCCTATAGGATATTTATCCATACTTACATACATGCCTATCATACCATTAACTTATGGATAAGGATCAGTATTCAAAGCACAGAAAATAAGGAAGAAATAAGGAAGAAACAAAATATAAGTTACAAAGAAGGAAAGGAAATTTTCAGTTTGCATCAACACCATTCCCTCTACTGCCCATATCAGTTTATCCCTGAAAGCTGTCTTTGCTTCCACCAAGGCCATATGCTGCTTCATAATTGCCTTTTGCTTTTTAAACTATTTGTTTCTCTCTTTTTGAGCATCTCATCAACTCCATCCAACCATAACTGAGTCTTCTCGTTCATCTTAACCTACCCAGCTTTCCTTCATATGTATTTGATTTTCACTCTTTCTATATGATCAGACAAGCCCAACATATATTCAATAGCCCATTATATTCAATCTACATTCTTTCAGAATTCATTTATTCTTGACCTTAGCTCTTTGTGCTTTACTACACACAAACTTAAATATTCCACTTCCAATGCATTCAAATTTTCTTGACATATCCATGTCTCATTCTTAAATAACATAGTGGGCAGAAACACATTCTTATAACTAGCTATTTTTGCTTCTCTTGAATATTTATATTGATTCTGTACTGTACAAAGGACTACATGCTACCCACAACCCTTCTATAAATATCTCTGTGTCTTAAAATATCTCCATTCTTTTCCCTATTTTCAGTAAGCCATCCACTAATTTACACAAATCCATCAACTTGTTTTAGCTTTTCACCATTTATGTAACAGCTTACAATAATTCATTCAATTTTCCCTGTTAAATGCAATTATGTTGGTTTTCAATATATTAATTTTCAGAACCATAATCCTCATTACATTATTTTTCACTTCACCACAACCATTCCTTATACCTTTATACATTAATATATTAAAGAGTCAAATACCAAGCATCATTTTCTTACTCCCTGTTCGTTTTTATTTATTTACAGTTCCCAGTCCATTGCAGTAAGAATTACAGTTAGTCTCATATGTACCAATACTTTAACCTCCATCACAAACCTCTTATTGCAGTCAACCGACTTTTAAGATCATATCTATACAAAATATTCTGAAATTCAAGTCTATGCACTTTATCAATCACTATCTTTAAATGTATGTGAATCTTTTCAATTTCTTTAATTAAAAATGGTCAACAATTCATATTGCTAAATCTGATTAAATATAGACATTTTAAAAGCTGATTCAGTTTTGATTCAGTATTTTAAATTTATTTTTGTTAAGTGCTCTAGAAAGCTTTATTCAGAAGTTGTCCAACGAGGTGTTTAATATGGGCCAAATTATAAATCTGACTATAACCTAGAGAACTGTTTATTTATTTCTAATACAATGCCCAAGAAGATTAGTACTAAGTTAATACATAAATATCTGCTTTCAGTTCCATATCCTCCTCCAGATTATGGTTTACTTTTACCTTCCCTCAAAAGTCTTTTTTCAATATATTTTTTTAAGATGAACAATGATAAGTATTGATTGGTTTTAATTATATATGACTCAATCAAAATTCATGCTTCTCAGAACCACAGAAATTGGACACAAATGATCTTTTTTTATTTTTGCACTAAACAAATTGCAGTGAAATTCTCTGACCAAAAATGAACACATTGGACAACATTCAGAAGATAAGAAAAAATCCCACCGAAGTGTTGGCAAATGTGAATACATTAAATGAATAAAATATTTATTTGTTGAAATTTTATTTGTTTATTTGTTAGACTTATTTACTGCCCATTTTGTCTCCAAAAATTGTATTGGAAGTAACTTTTTCTTGAAAATATTTGGATTTCATCAGAAAATAAAATGGGCATATTAATTTAGTTTTAAATTTTAATAGCACTTTAACATAAGTTTGCAATTTATTAAGATCGCAAACAATGAACAAAATGACTGAGTCAGAAGAAGTATATGTTCAGGATCATAAAGTGTGCTCAGATAAATCTCATTCTTGGGGAGGTGGAAGATCAAGTCCAGGAGAAGCTACAACTTTTATAAGGAGGCAGCCGGGCCAAACAGCGTGGGAGAGAATGCAGCGGCTGAATTGGTATAAGAAGAGGGGACACTTGAAAATGCAAGCCATGAGACCCAGTACCATTTTGAAACAGTTTGTAGAACTGATGACTCCCCCAAAAGGTCCAGTAAGAGACATGCTCAGGTGCTCAGTTTGCCTATCCATGCACTGGAAACAAAACAATTATATGAGCAAATGAAGCTTCATTTTTGCATGCGCGGATCTAGGTTTTGTGGAATACCCCCCCCCCCGCCCCTGAGATCAAGTATCAGGCAAGATAAACTAAATCAGCAAACTGTAACATAAATGTATTTTTTAGCATTATCTACACTAAAAAACTGAGGGACAATATTTTAAGAATCCATGCTATGATTGTGCCAATACCTCAACATATAATCAAATAGTTTGACAGAATGTAAGCAAAAAAAGGGCAATAGTTTATTTGTTGCATTTCTACATTACCCTTCTCACCTAAGTGACTCTCGACATTGCACAATAAAAAGTGGATAGAAAAATAACCTCCCTAGCAAAATAAGAATTCATAAAAACCAAAGCTCTTTGATCCTTTGGCCACAAGATGTCCTCATTGCTCAACATACAGGAAGAAGTTAATAAAATCATGAGCCAGAAGACAATGTAAGCAGTGAAAAAGACCGAAGCCCATGAAAACCAACATTCACATTTACCACTCATACAATACATACTGAAGTCATTCCCTCCCTTCACCTCCAAGGTCGAGTACGGTAATTATTCTGTCTTGACAAGATTTTGTCTTTCAATCATTTATCTAGCTTGTTTGATCACAGTTCTGCTTCCAAGGTATAGTGATGGGTTAACAGTATGTCAAAGAGATAACAACTTCAATAACATTTTCACAGCCACTCTGTTAAAATCATCCTGGAAGCACAGATATTGGAGATGGGAGTGACCTATAAGTCATCTGGCCCTTTGCCATGCCGAAACAGAATGTGATTGTACATTTATTGAAGCTTTTAACCAGTTCAGTGCTAAGGTGGCTTCGAAATGGAGCTATTCCCCACTTCTTTGGGAATACATCTTGTAATACAAGTGTCATTATGCTGCTGGTTCTCTCCAGATGTGCTCAACTTCAGCTCACATTTCTCCAGGTAGCATAGCCATGCCGACTGAGAATTATGGAAGTTGGGAATTCAACACATCTGGAGGGATCACATTAGAAAGCTGTTCTAGTGATAGATATAAAATATATATGTTATATGTATTGATATACTGATATATTTATTTTATATCTCTACCTCTATCATCTGTCTCTCTATCTCTCTATCTAGTAAAAAGACTGTATGCATTTTCCAGATATCTTGCTTTAAAGAGATGATTAGAAAACCAGGATGTCAACATTCCAGATATAGTTGTTTACATCTTCCTTTAATTTTGAGAAAATTGGCAAGATGTCTACTAGGTTAGAGCATGTTTTGAAAAATATCAGTCGCAATAGCACTTAGACTTATATACCACTTCATAGTGCTTTTCAGCCCTCTGTAAGTAGTTTACAGAGACAGCATATTGCCCCCAACAATCTGTGTCCTCACTTTACCAATCTCAGAAGGACGGAAGACTAGGTCAACTTTGAGCCAGCAGCCAGGATCAAACTCCTGGCATTGGGCAGAGTTAGCCTGCAATACTGCATTCTAACTACTGCACCACCAATGTTAAGAAAGAAATGTTTTCAGCATCATGCAGCCATAGCAGCTACCTGCTATTCATTAAAGCAGTCCACTTTTTTTCAGGTTCCACACGTGCCTCAAATACTGCTGCTATAACAGCTACATTAACTTTAATGACCCCCTTCTTACTCATTTATCAAAATTTGCACTTCCTGAGGGTAAGCAATATCTTAGAAGATTCTCAGGTATGATGCTTCTACCTAAAATAGCCTGGCAAAAATCTGTGGCCTTAGGCCCACATGCAGGCTTTGGCCTAATTTAGATCTCTGTCCTTGAAGGTTATTGGAATCGGAGAAAAAGAGGGAGGAAAATATAAGATTGGAGAAAAATGCGACATCAGAAAAATTAAAAGGCTGTTGGATAGATAAAGATGGTAGAAATAAGACACTAGGTGCCCCAAAAGTCTCTGTTCTTCAATTTTTTCCTGAGCCATAATTACTATTATCCCACAGCCTCTATTACATTAACACCCTCTCCCCCAAAGTCTCTAAATTTTACCTTGCACAAAATTGTCCACCGTGCTATTACATTAAACTGTCTCTTTCACTTTTCTAGGCAAACATAACATATAAATTTAAAAAAGCCTGTATCTTCTAATTCTTGCCTCCCCAGGTATACTCCTGTATATCTATCCCGACTGATATAGATAGCTTCTCTCTATCAAAACTGTGCTTAAGGATTGAAAGCTGTATGCGTTACTGTCCCACCTTTTCATTTTAGGAGTTTAAGTTGTTCTACACAGCATTTCCTCCTCCTATTTTTCCTGCAGCAACCCATGTGGTAGGTAGGTTTGTATAGGGTGATTGGTCCAAAGTCCTCCAGGAGTTTCCATGGATGAGGGTGGACTAAACCCTGGATTTAGTTGCTCCCTGGTATTCAGGATGCTGCTTATAAGCTCTATGTGCTTAGAGCTCAAAGCATTGTTAGAGACCCCACACATCCACTTTACGGTCTGTTTCTGTTGCTCCCCTCTGGGAGGAGGTTTCTATGTATTTCTAGCAGGACTACCCAATTCTGTAATAGCTTTGTTCCCTATGCCATCCGTCTGGTAAACTTGCAAGATTCATTTTTCTTACCATGCACATGTATACATAACCCGAACTAGACTGTTTTTTCTCTGTCATATAATATATGTGGGTATATGCATAATTCTGCATTTATTTATTTATTTATTTATTTATTTATTTATTTATTTTTGTCATATTTATGTATATCTGAGGTGGTGACCCTTTGAAAGCTGAATACAATGAAATTTCATTTTAATGTATGCCGATTAGTGTACATTCAAAGTGACAATAAAGTTATTATTCTATTCCAGAAGTCCCCAACCTTTTGGGCACCAGGGACCGGTTCCGTGGACTGGGCGGGGTGTGGTTTCATGTACTGTCTGCATCCCGCGGATGGGGCTTCGCTTGTTTGTGTGGACCGGTTTCTGGCATGCCGCAGACCGGTGCTGGTGCACGGACCAGGGGTTGGGGACCCCTGTTCTATTTTATTCTATGGATCTTCCCACTCCTGATCTTAATCATTATACCACGCTGTTTGAGAGAGGAATGATTTGGGGGGGGGAGTTACCTGAGGTACTCGTAGAGTCCATACATAGGCAAGAAGTCAATATCAGACAGAAACATGTATGGAGTGCTGATGTGTTTCATAGCCACATTTCGCAGGAGATTCACAGGGTAGAATTGTCCCTCTTTATACACTATGTGATATCCAACATTGTGACGGCTCATGAGGACCTCTGAACCTTGAGCATAGCGCAGAAATTGTTGGGCCTCTGCATCGGAAAGATAGAGTGCCAGACTGATCGGCCCTTCCCAGTGCTTACAAATGGCTTCAAGCATCTGCAGTCTAGGAGGAGAGAAAGAAAGAAAAATTCAGAAAAAGTCACCTTCATTAGTTTGGTTGACCTAAGCAAGCCTTTCTGTCTTGGTGTTGATTTTCAAAAGGGCAAAAAGTATTCAAGTCTACCATTCGCTTGGTGACCACCTGGAGACCTCTTGGCACTGTATTGGAAGAATTTCTTGCTTCCCTGTTTTTTGATTCCTCACCTTGAAATTCCCAGCTGGTCTCCTATCTAAGGACCAACAGGATCAACCTTGTTTCATCCAGATGTTATATTGTGCACCTCCTTAGAGATTCACTCAAGAAAACAAAAAGAAGAAATCCTTAACTAAACATGGCGTGTGTTAAAACACTAAGGAATCAAAGCCTAAGAAAAAACTATTGTAGCACAATGTCTATTCTCTTTAGAAGGGAAAAAATAATTAATTTTCAAGGTTTTATGTCTCCACCGAGAACAGGAAAAGAAACAAATGCAGCAGTTGTATGTAATTGTTGCAGAAGAAAACATGTGTTTTTCTAAACAGTGAAAATAGATAAGCCAAGAAGTAGAAAGGGATAAGTAATTACTTCACTATTCATTTTATTATGTTCACAAGGAATGTGAGGCCAGAGTGGTTAAAAAAAAGCTTGATAAATTAAAAAGGCAAAAATAGAAGCTCCATCAAACAAATAATAATAGTAATAAAAGTCTAATAGTAAAAAGGGTTGCTTTGTGTTCAGGAAAACAAGGCTTTCTGGTTAAAGATGGCGAATCACTAATACCTATAAAAGAAAACATTACTGAGGAACACTTTAAATAATTTATTTCCAAGATATGCCATGGGTGTTTTAACAAGCACAATACAGTCTTGCATTAATTAACATCACCACACTATAATCCATGTGCTTCCAGGATCTCTTTCCATTCTTAGTAGATTTAATTAAAATACATGATTATGAAGATATAAATGCTAAAAACCATATGACTTTATGTGAAGCTGTTTTTATTCAAAGATGCAATAGTTTTCCTGTCTCTTTTGCTTATTAATGTCAGGGTAGGAAATGTCTATCAAAATCCATTTCATTTCAGACATCCTGTGAAATAAGCAACCTTGTACCCAGAATTCACTCATTTTGGGAATAAGGCTTTAGTACAATTGCGGAGAAGAGATTAGAAGCATCTGATTCCTGGTTACATTAACTACTAATGGTGTGTGAGATGTTTTGCATTTAATGTAATTATTTCAAATGTGAATGGTTTGAACTGGAAATTTCCTTCCTTCCTTCCTTCCTTCCTTCCTTCCTTCCTTCCTTCCTTCCTTCCTTCCTTCCTTCCTTCCTTCCTCCTCCCCTTCCTTCCTTCCTTCCTTCCTTCCTTCCTTCCTTCCTTCCTTCCTTCCTTCCTTTCACCATGGTGACTCTAGACAATGCATACAGATAAAAGCCACCATAAAAATAAAAACCCATGTAAGCCAGATCACCAATGTGATTACCTAGCTACCTGGTCCAAGTACCTGGTAGAACAGCCAGGTTTTCAGAGCCTTAAGAAAGGATAACAGGGTTAAGGCCCTCCTGATCTCTTGGGGGATGCTGTTCCCATGAGGCAGGTGCTGTCACAGACAATGTATTATTCTGGGACCAGCAATTGTTTGGTGGAGGGGACCCAGGCATGCTCTCCCTATTCAACCGGGTGAGGTAGGCAGAAACAATGAGTAGTTTACCTTGATCCTATGCCATGTATAGCTTTATACATGGTAATCAGCACCTAGAATATCTTACTAACTACAGTACAGGTCACAATTGGGCCAAAGAATCTTATCATTTACTGAATCAAGCCAAGAACACACTATGGTATCAATACATCACAGTTTAGAAGTAATGATCAAGAGAAATAATTTAAATAAGGAAATAATTGTTTACAATCAGCTCTAAATGGCCATGCCAAAAAAGCCAGAATGAAAGTAGAACCTGTGCTGAGGTACCATTAAACTATAGGAGTTTTATATTCTTACATCCATCCACTTCAAGAAAAGTTCTTCCACGTCTAGTGCATCGCAACAATTATTTATCTTAACTGTTGATAGTTTCACTACTTCAAGGAAAACTATTACTAATATTTGCTTAGATCTACAGTATATTGGTTATTAACTATTGAGAAATATTCATGAACAGTTTACTATGACCTAACTTTAATATCTACCATTGGATAGGTCTATGGTGCTGCTTAATAAACTACTGTAATTTATTACTGATAATATTTTATGTGAGATGGATAGATGGATGAAATGTTTTTGATGCCTTCTTTTGCCCCCAACTCCCTTCAGATGATTGAAAAAGCTGCTTCAATAGAGTGTAGATTTTATAGATATTATACAATGTAGTATGTGTACTAATATAATATATTTGTAAGCTACCTTTTCCATTCATAATATGTCAAAAACAACCTTAAAGCACTCAGAATTACTGTAAACCAAAACTATCCAGAATAATCAATGTGCAACTAGACCCAATCCTGAATAGTGATAATCAAATTATAATACTTAGTTCCAAAGCTGGGGATGGAGAGGAATTTCAGCAGCAACAGCTGTAAAGCAAGCATGTTACTTGAGGCCATTTCCTCAATAGTCATTTATAGCATCTTTAATGTCACCAGCCACTATGGTGAAGGTCTAAGTCCCATCTTCATTACTGATACATCAGCAGATCAATGCTATAAATTGTAGGTGTGAAAATGAACTGAATCATTCAGAGGGTAGCATTCTGTAATGGATGGATATCACAAGATAAAAGGCTGTAAAGAAGTATATTCTTATATTTGTTTTTATCAATATAGATGTAGAACTGAAACCATTAACTGGATCATTGAGGGAAGCATATTGTATTAGCTCTCTAACCTGCATAAAACGCTCAGTCAAAATCAGAGATTACATTTCTGCACATACAGTAGATCCGGTGCTGTTGAGACCTTCAGACTAAGAATTCAGTGTAGCAGTTCCATGATGAACTAACCCCCTCATGGTGTGTGAACTATTGACTTGGGAGTTGTTAATTTTGCTCACACCCAACCCTAAAGGGGCACATGAAGATTTTCTTCTGTCCCTTGGTAGTTTTCTCCTCCTGGCCATAAGGGGAGCAGGGGGGAATGAAAAAAAGAGATAAAGAGAGGATTAATAAGTCTTCTGAGTCTGTCCACAGTAGCAATGGATCCAATTGTACCACACTGGATTTTTTAATTTTATCTCCAGAGTGGAAAGGGGATAAAAATAAAAAAAGGAAGGCAGCTGGAAATGCAGCCTCCCTGACACTTCTGGGAGAAATGGGGAAAAATGGCCAGCATCACAGCTCAGTTTATTGACTGAGAGAAGGAATGACTGAGTTGTTTTAGGAACTGATAAAAGCAAAAAGAAATAACAGCCCATTGCTCTAATGAATTTCTAGTCTACTATTTCAAACAGGAAGAATCTGGAAGCATCTTTTCTGACTAGCAAATACATTTTATTCATGAAAGTGCATGCTTTTTAGTAAAATTTGTTAGTTGGAAAAGGTCCTATTGGAATACTTCTGATTTAGTATTTCCCTTATAGCCATAGCTATTACCTTTACTATGCAGATGCATAGTCTTAGTAAAGGTAATAAGTAAATGGTGAAGAAAATAATCCAAGCTATTCATGGTGAATATATCAAGCTATTCTTGTTTGTCTGCTTTGCAGATTTTTCTGCTTATCGGTGGAGTTTCAAATGAAGTTTGAAAAGTAATTAAAATAGAGAAAAACATTTTTAGTTCAGCTTATCAAACTATAATTCTCAAATGCTATAGAATAGCTAAATGTTGCATTAAAAAGCAAATGAGTAAATTATTAACACAAACCAGGATCTTTCATTAATCCAAAGTGAAAGAAGAGATTTGTATGACTCCCATCCTTATGACATTTCAGAAACTATCGAAAATCTGATTGTTCTCCCAGGTCTCAGAATGGTTCTGCATCCTGTTTTAGTTTAACTTAGTTATGTCAGGTTTAAGAATGTGATGGGTTTTTTTCCCCAATTGGCATTTTCTTTTTTTTAATAAGCTGCCCAGAAGTGTCAAAGAGACAGGATCCCTCAAATTTAGATTAAATAAATGAAAAAAATATATATCAGAGCTGTCATTCAGAAGAAAAGATAAGAAACCACAAGGATCTCACTGCATCTATAAACATTCAGGAAAAGGTAAAAATAGCAATAATAACGATCACCAATGTAAGCTTCATTTCCAGACATTGTCATCCCTGAGCCAGCTCTGTCCCAAGGTTAAAAAAAAGAGTATTGTCCTCTTCTCCTATCTTCCTGGTCTTGCAGTACAAGAAGACGGGTTGTTGTTGTTGTTTTTTAATGGTCTAGCCTTCTTTTCCAAGAGAATGCTTATTTCAGTTGTTGAATGAGGGAAAAAACTTCTCATGACAAGAAAACAGAAGGCTTTTGTCTCTGAGTCTGAGAGATTTTTCAGTATGTCTGGAAACTGCTCTCTATTTTGCTTTGTTCTTCTCAATGGTTCTCTTGCATGTTCAGATCTTAATATATTATTTCCGATAACAGTTCACCTTAAAACTTGGATGTTGCTACAAAACTAGGACTGGTATCCAGAAGAAGCAGATTATAAAGTTCTGCAAAAAGATTGATCTAGTCCTCTCTTTCTGCTGCATGCCTTGCTAGATTAAATACATTAGCTGCATCAATTATTAGTATTTCAGCTTGTCCATCCTAATGACAGTAACACAGAAAATGAGTGCAACTGCTGTAGGAGAAATTTGCTGTAATTTGAAAAAAGAAAAAGGTTTGAAGATGATTGAAAAAAACAAACATACAAGAACCCACACACTGAAAAACATAACAGGAAATAAAATGGCTGAGTAATTCTTTAACAGGAATAGCATTTGTTGATTTTTCATGAAAGAAAGAATCACTACATCTGATAAATAACATCCCAATAATGAAGAGAAGCCTAAAATAGGATAGAATAGATAGGGACAGGATGGGGCTAACAGAATGAGTAGTATGTTTTTCTTCTCTGAATAAAGATAAGTGCCTCCATCCATCAATAAAAATTCTTCACTTGAATCCAAAGTGAATTAAAATCCTGGAGGAAAAGCATACATATGCTTGCTGGATTTACTAATTCTCTGTGGCATTCACTTGGTGTTTGATGTTCTTTTGAAAGATTTACCAAACAACAAAGTAACACCACCACCCCCGAGAAAAGTTTCCTATATTAAAAATCAATAGAACAGGGATTGGTGAAAATTGCAAATGTTTAAATAAGGCTGAGATGAGAGCTAAGCAGTGCCATGGTTTCTATAAATCTGGGTTGTTTCATCAAAGTTATTTAATCAGGCTTGAATTTCTAGAGATTCCATGTGTGGGAACATTGATTGTATAGTCAACTGGAGGAATGGAGGTCTTGTGCATATTACAGGTTACATTTTGCCTGTGTAACTCTGATTTCATTTTAAATGAAAACACACCTCTTCCTTCCTTATGCAAATTACAGTATCCAAAGGAAGGCAGGTTGCAGGAAATGAGATGGAAGGATTCTGTTGGTTTCTGATATGATGGATGTACATTTTATTGCTTGGGTATAATTGGCAGGCATGTTAGAATAATATGGTAAAGAAATAAGTTGCGTTTATTCAGCTAATTTATTAGGGGAAAAAATGAGAATAAAGGGCAACTGGATCTTTCCTCAACAAATATTTGTCTGCATTGAAAGGAAATATCAGGTACAAATGTAGTGATATTTTTCAGTGCTGTAAAACAATTTATCCTACAGATGAGTCCACAACTCTGGTTCTTTATTGCCACTTTTGTATATACAGAATACCGACAACAGTAACTACCCTTCCTGCTTGCCTCTGGAATGTCTTTGAAATCTGCAACTCGTTACAAGGTAAGGAGATGACCTGGTGAATAGGGGAAGATCTTGCCTCTTCCAAAAAATGTGAACCTTTTTAGACCCTAGAGGTGGTGCCTTCTCCACGCTAGATGGCCTTGAGATAAGGATTAAAGTGTGCCCCACACAAACAAGTGTTGCCTTTTACAGATCTGTATTTCTTATATGCGTATCAAGGACAGTGGTAACTATAGGTCAAAAAAATAATTTACAAAAAAAAATCAATATAACTCAAGTAAGGGAACTATGATGCAGAAGCAAATAGAGAATTAATGAAAATATCTTCTTGAGTCACCATTCAATATTTCTGGGTTATTCCTTTTTCTAAGTAATTCCATATATCTAACCTAACTGCAAACAAAATCAATCAATCCATTCCAAACACATAATTGTCTCAAATGTACATCACAGAAATTTCTCATTCTAAGCCTGATCTTCCACTTCTTGTTAGTCTAACTGCTAGTTCTTCAAAAGAAAAGGAACCAACTGTTTATGGCCAAAAGGCTTAAAATATTCTTTCTTCCACCAAGAGATTATTTATTTATTTTATTTATTTATTTATTGAATTTTTACCCCGCCCTTCTCCTTGCGGACTCAGGGCGGCTAACAGCCTAATAAAAACAAATACAAAAAATACCAAAATACTATCATTAAAAACATAATTAAAATGAAATATTAGATTGGCCTTTGTTATTTTAAAATTATTTTTAAAACCCCACTAAAAATTACCCCNGGAGCTCCCACCGAGAAGGCCCTCCCCCTGGGGGTCGCCAGCCGGCACTGTCTGGCTGACGGCACCCTGAGGAGACCCACTCTGTGGGAGCGTACCGGCCGATGGGAGGTAATCTGAGGCAGAAGGCGGTCTCGGAGATATCCAGGTCCGATGCCATGGAGCGCTTTAAAGGTGATAATCAACACCTTGAAGCGCACCCAGAAAGCCACCAGAATCACCAATTGGAAGTAATTGCATTTGCCTAAACTCTCTATGAGAATATAACATTACATTCCTTACCTGTCCATGGAGAGCTGTGCCACCAGGGTCACATCAGTGTTATCTGTAGCAAACTCATATTCGTAGTGTAGGAAATATAGGTGAGTCCGATGGACGGTGAAACGCTCTCGCCGAAACTCATAACATAAGTCATCTTCATCCAGCTCAGATAGTTGTTTCTGTAGCTAATACACAAAAGCACAAAAATCAGCACAAAACTATAAACAAGAGAATATTAATTTAGAATCTTTTACTGAAGAACAAATATAAAATCAAGTATCTTATATGATATCATGTATATGACCCCCTGCCGCCCAAACCATAAAGTCAGTTTACAAGCCCTAAATGAAGAGCTACTTTGCACTTGTGAGTGGAGGATTAATAGAGGTCCATGATTTCTGTTTTTTCCCTCCCTAAATAATTGCCTGCCTCTTTTTAGCAATGTGGTAACCAGGCAATTTGGATAAGCCCAAAATGACAATTTGGATAAGCCCAGGATGACAATTTGGATAAGCCCAGGATGACAATTTGGATAAGCCCAGGCTCAAACCTTCCTGCAGCTGTTTAATTAAGTCCCTTAGACACCGGATGTCTGGGGCCACTGATGGTAATTCCTGACAACTCATCCTAAATTTTGTGAACAAATTAAGCTACATGTTGTGATCCACCCTACAGTCCTAAATGAATGTTCTACCTCTCAGTGTAAGTATTACAGCATACAGATTTTCTTTGTAGACAGTAGGACCATTGCACTCTTTGGCTCAGACACCTGAATGTCTTCTGTAATTCTGCATGTGAGCCACCCTTGGTAGTTTACCAGATGCCCTACTACCAATCTTGCTGACTGCAAAAAATCGCCTCCATTTGCATGCCATATTTTAAGACATTCAACTGAAGCCAACCTATGGCCATTTCATTTAAACTTGAGAGAGCAAAGCTCTACTATGACCTCTATGGCAGGGGTCCCCAACCCCCGGTCCATGGACCAGTACTGGTCCGCGGCATACCAGCAACTGGTCCGCACAAACAAGCAAAGCCCCATCCATGGGATGTAGACAGCACACAAAACCACGCACTTTCCGGTCTGTGAAAAAACCTTTCTCCACAGAATCGGTCCCTGGTGCCCAAAGGTTTGGGGACCTCTGCTCTATGGCATGAAGTAAGAAGGAAACCTGGTGTAGAAATGAACAGAAAATATAGAAGAGGGACAGATAGGTATGTTCTCTTAGGCCTCCTCCTCTAAACTCACACAGAAATAAGTATGTCACCAAGTAAAATCGTGGAACAAACATTTGCTTGCAGTTGTGAAACTATTTTGCAGACATCATTATGCATTATCGTGGTTTTTAGTATCGCCTGTTCACCGCCCTGAGTCCCGCAAGGGAGATAGGGCGGTATATAAATTTAATAAATATAAATTTAATAAATAAAATTATTCATTTATCTAAACTACAAATTGCAGGGTGTGTGGTAAAGAAATTATAGCGCCTCTAAGCATTATTAAAGCAACAAAAACGTTGATCAAATTCTTTAATGTGCTAAGAAGGATAGTATAAAATGGTTTCCTTCCTACATTTTTTTTTTAAACGAAACTACCTATTTTAGAATTGCTGGACTTTATGGGCAGAGAGAGATGGTACATGATGCGAATCTCTGCAGGGACAGTGCATTGCTGTGATGGAAAAATATTCTTCTTCACAGCAGCATCCAGGAGGAAAGTCCCCCAGGGCTCCTTGCTAAGAGCAGCATTTTATATTTCCTCAGACATTGAGAGGTGTGAAAATAAAAGGGCAAATATGCCACAAGAATTTAGAAAGCTATTGCATTCCAGGTTGGGCTTCTATCCATGCAAGATCTCAGAAAGCATTTTTTTACCTCCTTCCGAACTCTTCAAATAGAATGGAACCTGGCATTTCCCTCACACCACGTCTGATGGGGCACCAACAAAACGGGAACTAAAATTGCTTCTGATTCAAGTAACTCTAGTCAGGGATTCCAACCCTTATCTCTGCTTGTTTACCTTCAATTATTTGCCACACTAGCTAGGGATAATGGGAATTATGATCAGACACCTTCTAGGAACCAAATGCTGAGAATTAATGTGTTAGGATATGAAATATACACTCACAGTCAAGTTTACACATACACACATACACCCATGTACATATTCACATGACACCAAATCAATTTCCTATTTTGCAGTAGTATCCTAAGCATTCTCTTAGCAGTTCCATCCTATTTTGTTCTCTATTTCAAAGAGCTTTAATTGGATTATCTATAGACCCATCTTTTCATCCAAATCTATGAACAGCTTGACGGCAACAATATATCACCTTTCTTAATAGCCCTGGCTTTCAGGGTCGTATCAAGTATGGACAGTTTTTAATATCATCACTTGGTTGGCACTAAGAACCCTGTCCTGCATTATTTTAATGCTTCATAACAGCCATGTAAAATAGCAACAGAGGCCAAACTACACCACATATAAGCTACTGCAATTTTATTTCTGTTATCCACTGCCAAATCTAGAATTTTCTATACCACCTCCACTACTAACCCACAAGCAAATTTCTGTAAGTTTCACATGATAAGGTTCTGATCTAAACCACAGTCTAAGTAAAAAAAAACAACCCCATCAATAAATCCCCATTACTTTTTAAAATATATGTTCCATAATATACATATGGTCAGGTGGAACTGTTAGTGTTATTTTATATTATATTAGTGTTATAATAAATTAGAATTTATTAAATTGGTCTTTGAGAATTGCTTTTGGCTTAGCAAGTACCCTCCTTTCTAAATCTATCAAAAGAACTTCTGATGAGATAAATCAAAGTTTCTTTTGATGACCAATGGATATCTTTGAATGAAAATGAGTCTTCCACTTTCTGATACAATTAGATTTGATGTTTTATGTTTTCTAACTGCTGAGTAAGAACTATCATTTTAATTACAGTTTTTTTCATTTTTAAATAGAGATTTCAAGTATTTAGATAGTGGTTAATGAGTCTCTTAAAATTAATGAATAAAACCACTAGCTATCAGTAACAGATGGCACATTTATGAATATTTTTGTTTTTACAATAATTCTAACCCTTGTGTTTTTAAAATTAATTCTGAATAGCCAATTCTGTTTTAGGCTGTCCTTGCTTAATGACTCATGTTTAGTGTCTGAAGTTACAACAGCACTGAAAAAGTATCTTTACAACAGGTTCTTGCACTTAGGACCTTTGGAGTGTCCCCTTGGTCATGTGATCAACATTCAGGTGCTTTACAACTAGTTGGTGTACAAGATTGTTGTAGTATCCCATGATCACATAGCTGCCATTTGCATGCTTTACAGTCAGCTTCTGACAAGCAGAGTGGAGAAATTGGTAAAGTCACGGTCATGGGATGTCTCATTTTTTTGACAGAGTTGCCTGTCTCAACTATGGTTAGTAACTGAGTAACTTGTACTTTTCTTCTTTCTCATTGTCTGCCTCAGTCATCTTCTTAGCTTCCACTCACAAGGAATGACTTATTAAGAGGTACATAAAGGTTATAAATAGCTTCAAAACTCTCATAACAGTTGCAGTCTTTAAGCCCAAACACTAATTTTGGATTGTTTTCTCACTCTTGTTTTGCTCATCACTGCAACTGCAAACTCATCATCTTAAATTTCAGCATAGTTATCGCTAAAAAGATCACAATCTAATTCATTTTCTCTAAAGCATAGATAATATCAGCATTTTAAATAAACTCAGAAATTGCTACATGAAATATCTTAATTTTCTTTCCATTTCTTTTCTTGGAAAGATATTTAACATCTCTTATCAATCCAAGTCATCATGCTAATTAGGCATGGTTAAAAAAACTGTAACTAGCTGTAATTGTATCACTCTTTTTAAGATATCACAATATCTTCTTTTTCCAATTTCCTGGATACCCAGGCTATATGTTTATACTTGCAAAACCACAATTATCTAGGTACTGTAGTCACAACATGATTTTTAGATTACTTCAAACTCCTAAACAGATATAATAACTTAATCATGTATTATGGAACTATGTTGTGAAATTATTACCCTACTGTAGCAAAATGGTGCAAAATACCTGCCCCCTCTATATTTATTCCTTACTATATTAACTGCAACTTAAGAAAAGTACCAGAAAGTAGCTATATTGTATGTGTGCATGCATTTTTCCCTCTTTCCCTCTCTATCTCTGAATATGATCACTGTATGGTCCTACACATGTAACAATGCCGTCTTCCAGATAGTGGCTCAAAAATGCTTCTTTGTCACTAAAATACTGTATTAATGCCTGAACTCAGTTATATCCATAAGTATTTTTTTCATTAAAATATCTTAATTGTAGACTATATGTACTTAAACACACTCATGTTGTTATAAATGAAATCTAGATAAGAGAAGGGCAAAAAAACCATTAAAGAATGGAATGTTCTTTTTTTAATTACAGCCTTATGTTATTTCTTTCCTTCATAAATGAAACTGTGGGGCAAGCTCTTTTTATATGTACTTTGACTGAGAGTTGGCAGAATTGCCAGAAACTACATAATGTGGTCTTGTGGACCACATCTGGCCACCATTCTGCTGATGGGTTTCCTCATTCAGTTAAAAACAAACAGAATCTTCCATCTGGTCACAGACAACAGCAAAAATAATCTTGCTTGCTTAATAGTAATAACCCAAATAAATGCTTGCAACTAGGGCTACTATCCTAAGATAATCCTATCTCTATCGTATCCTATCCAATATATCCTATATCCTATTCTTTCCTAAACTAGAAATGGCTAGTTTGTGGTATTTACTGTATGTCCTGAGACATATTGTAAATATAATGCTAAAGTATAATGTATGCACCCTGGAAATTAGATGAAGTTATGTAAATCAGAAATTTTGATTCCTGTTGCTCAGTTTCCATGTTGCTTTGCTTTTACTGGCCAGTTTATTTATGACAGGTTTATTTTCTGTTGGCAACTTGCTCAAGTTACCGTACTTGGAAAAGCTTCTGCAGTTTGAAAGCTGCCCACAGGACCTTATTCTCTTGCACCTCTGAAAAAGCCTATCTCTGCCTTGAAGAGATTTGTGAATTGATTACTTTTATCTCAGTGCTTTAGTTTTCTTCTAGTAAGTTCAGGATCTTGAGCATTAGGCTACGATATTGTTAGGATCCAGGTCACTAT